TTCAAATACATTTTTTAAAACTTGTAGTGGATGACACTTGATGTTAATACAGATTTTTCAAATATTAATTCATTGATTAAATTCAAAATGAATAAATAGTAACAAACAAAAATAATAGTCCAATAGCATATATAAAAGGGAAAATCTTTCGTTGTATCCTTGTAACACAATGGATAGCGCGCGCGTTGGGCTTCTAATCCAAAGGTTGTGGGTTCGAATCCCCCCTGGGGTGGCCTAATTTCAGAGGATAGGATTTCTTTTTTACTATACTATTTTACTAGAATAATTAAATTTAATGAATGAATAAATAGTAACAAAAAAATAGTTCACCACCCTATGTAGATAGGAAAATGGAAAGGAAAATCTCTTTCTTTGTTACTTAATATTGTGATTGTGTCCTATGTATATACATATTTATATTAATTGTAACTATTTAATAAAAAGTATCTAAAATAAAATTGTTCTTGGTTGATCTAAATAGGAATTGACTTTAAAAATTTCTTTTTTATATTATATATACTTGTTTGAACAAATTAAGATATTAAAAATTCCTCGAAGTCATATACCGTGTCAAGCACATTGTGAATTAAAAGGAAGGATCCCTTTAAAGTATTATCATTTTTTTCAAAATGTAAACTCGAATAAGATTACCTATAAAATATTCTATAATAAAAAAAAGATATCTTCCAATTTCCTCCTAGACTTGGCATATCCACTTCGTATAAATAACCCTGATTATATGTGACTACAGTTTGACTTAAATATGTTCCATGATTTTTTCCCCTGATTTTAACCATATGTTTTTACCATTAATAAGCATGGTAAAAAAAAAAAAACTTCGATAAAGTAAATCGAAACCATTGAGTGGCGAAGGGTGGGCCATACCTCATCTAGATTCATCACATGTCACCAAAGACAAAAGCCAGATTTTTTCAAAAGCTTAATCCTTCCAAACCTCGGCATGTCAATCTTGATCTGTATCAAAAACTGGAATTTTTTTCTCAAAAAAAAAAAAAGTCTTGATTGCGACTATCCATCAACCCATGGTATTTATACGAATTTCACAACACATTACCCATTCATATGTTATAAGCAGTCTCCTAAATCATGTTTCACAAAACGCACCCCCCCTTTTTTTTTTACAAGTTCTCGATCAAGGATTGGAGAAGGAGAAAAAGTAATAATAATAATAACAAATTGCACACTTTCATTTTTAAATCCCTTCCTTCTTATATTAGAAGCATTACATTTTTCACGCCAAATCCTTCCCTTTCTTAACACAATAGGGATCAAAATACCCCCATCCCATCGGCTGTGCATCGGTGTATTTAACTTAATACATATTTATGGAAAAAGGAATGGTTTAAAAGAAAGGGGGGAGGGGACAAAAAAAAATAATAAAGAACAATTCGTTGTCAAATGCCATCGAGAAAACCACGACTTTTCGTTTTCTGCGCCTCGTTGCAAAATTTTGTGACAGCTCTATCCATCCAAGGGGAGGTCGCGGGTCAACCTATCTCATTTCACGGTTACGGTCAGAAACCGTTCCTCCCCCTTCGGGTTCCAGCCACCCCTCATCCTCAACACCCAAAACTCCATCGCTGTGTTCATAAATGTTTATGACAGTTTTGGGTATGCCTGGCTAGAGAGATGGGGGCAGCGTACTGGAACAGATTGGGAACCGAGTTTTCGAGAAAAGGGGACGGGGCAGGGGGTGTTGAAGGGGAGGGGTCGGAATTACCCGAGTAAAGTTACCTGAAATGACGACGCATCTTCGTACGTATATACGAACGCGAAAAATAGTTTTCAGTGGAGCCGCGTTTCACACCCGTCTCTCCCATGCTCAGCGCGACGAAGCCAGCGTGACGGAAAGAGAAGATTAAGGTTGGTGGGTACACCACATTTGGCGAGTGATGGCCCTTTCAGGCGGCTCTTTGTCTAAATATGGGAAATGGGTTGGTAATGTATTCATTTCGAATTAGAGTAATAAAAGAGATATAAATGATGAAAGGCAGGGACGTGGCTGGCCGGAGTATCAGCCATCTCAATGGTACGAAGGCTACCAAGCTACAGGGGGCTCAACATATGTAAGCAGGGGGGCGAAGCTACCGCCGTATCAGTGATACGGGGGGCCCAATCTACAGGGGACCCAACATGTGTAACGACAGTCCCACTAAGAGGGTTCTCAGACCTAAAATAATCCACCTCAGGAATTTTGATACAAGGGCCACTCAGAACTAACTACACTAAAAAATCGTAAAATGTTTAGGGGCCTCAACAAACGACCCTCAAGGAGTTTTAATACAGAGCCCACTTAGGACTAGATATGCCAGTGGAAAGAGGATAAATATTTCACTATTTGCATTATGTTCATTGAATTAAAGTAAAAACAGAAAAATTTTAGCCTAGATGATTTTGATACTTTTGAAAAGGATAATTATGTTTTATAAAGGAATTAATTGTGAATGGGTTCTAATAAGTACTACATATTTTGAATGGAACTTTTGTTCTTATACTGCTTTCATTTAAAAAAAGTAAAAAGGAAAATTCTGTCTTTTAAGCATTTTTAATACTTCTGAAAACTGGTTTGCCATAGAAAGTCGATGCAATAAATCGTGATTTGTTTTTAATAAATGCATTTTCACATGGAAGTTTTTGCTACTTACAGACATACAGAGACGTCCACAAGGGGGGGGGAGATATTCCCCCCTCCAATAGGCCAACAGATTTTTAATTGTTACCATGGTGATTACCCTCTGGTCCGAAGCGCAACGAAGAATAAGAATATTAGCTCCCCCTCCCTTTCAAAGTCAGGTTTGAGGCCCCAATCCGGAACTTACAAAGGACTAATTAAGTACGTACTTGGCATCAGTCAAGCTTTGGGCCCCCTAAAATCCTGCCCCCCCCACACACACGATGAGAGGTGTGCATTACGCCAATGCCTTCGGTGCTTTCCTCTACTTGTTTTATAGACTATAACTCCCTCGTAAGAGAAGTTTATGTACGCTACTGCAAATGTATAATTTATTTCATTTCTAGGATTTCATACGCAATTAATAAACCAATGCATGGCCAGGGGCATGTAAAGAAAACTACTTAAAGAAAGATTTCATGATTTAATTCACGATTTTTTTTAAATTGATTCATCACATAAAATAAAAATATTGAATGGCATTTTAGAAGGTAATGTTGTGTTTTCGAAGTGATGGAAATAATTTGAATACATAACGTTGTTGTGACTCTTTGGAAGCGATTTTATTCAGATAAAATAAATCAGAAAAATTAAAATTCTAAAAACACTTTTACAGGCATCTATTTATTGATTTATTTTTTGGTTGCATTGAATAGGGCATACCCTAAACAAGTTTTCAATAATCTGCACAAATAAAGTTAAAATCTTAAAAATATTTTTAAATATTTAAATTTTGGGTTTTAATTAACTGACGATAAAAACCATTTGCTTCATTTAATTTCTCTTCAGCAACACATCAATTACTTATTTTTTATGAAAAAAAATACTTATTTATTTCCAATTATTTAATACCAAAAAGTATACACTCAAAAAAACCATTCTCTGTAGCAGTGGCGACACAGAGAATACTATCCCCCCACACAGTTCCCCCTAAAATCCTGGGCCCCCAACAAAGGGAAGTTTTGAGTCCCTAAGAATCCTGCCCCCCCTCGATGTGGCTTAGGGTGTACGTTACCCCACTAATCTGTCATTATTTATTGTTTTTATTATATTTTTTTAAAAAAGGTTCGATTAATCCATCTGTGTTTACTAAAAATGTTCTTGAAAACATTATGGTAATCCACAGCAATCGTCCGCCCCTCCCCCTCGAAAAAATTTGTTATTTAGTGACTTTATTATAATTAGTTTCAAAGAAAGAATATGCATGCAATATATAGCATATAAAAACTACCATGATAACTTTATTCAGAAATATTTCTAAATGACAGAACAAATTTTGGCAGTAGCATAATGGATAATATTAGACCCTCCCCTCTGCAAGGTCAGGTTTTTTACCCCAGGCCGAATCTTATATACTTGGCGTCAGTGAAACTTTGGGGCCCCTAGAATCCTGGGCTAGCCCCCCTACGCGTTACGTTACGCCACTGAATGTTAGACGTTATTTCTAAATGAATTTTAAAAATAAATGCATTGTTGTTACATTTTTTTGGCTCATGAATTCCGTTATGGTCATGTAATTGCCGAATGAAATGTTTGTGTCGATCTATGAGTTAAAATCGTGATGCCACGAAAGACTCGCTGTAAGTAGTGCATCTAGTGCTACTCTAGAGGCTCAAAGTCCTCACATCGGCGTGGTGTGGGGGTTTGGAGAGTGAGGTGCTGACTCGAAATTGCTCTCGTCATTCAAAGATCGCCTCGTCTTAAAAGGATCAGTTAAAAATTAGTTTAATTTTTAAATCATTGTCATTAATTATATTACTTCATTATTAAAAACTTTGTTATATTTCAGCCTCTCTCTCTGTTAAATCTTTCCATTTTCCCGGTATTTCTATTAAAACTGCAGAATTGTGATCTTTATAGCATTATCTTGAATTTTATGAATACATCGCTTTTTTTAAGCAACTAGTTTGTTTTTAACTCTATGTAGGATCATAAATTGTTACGCAAAAGGAAAAGGACAAAATTCACATCAGTTTGCTATACTAGTAGCATTTTGATGAATTACTCACCTTACTTTTCTAATCTTATTTATTTAATTTTTTTTTATTTATTTATGAAGGCTTAAACTCAACGCAAGTCAGAAAAATTATTTTTCAAGCATTGGTCTGAATGTAAAACGCACCTTAAAATAATGTCCTTTACTTCATCTTGCGCAAATTTTGGATAACATGGAACTGCAATTTTTTTTAAAAAAAATTCGAGTTTATTTAACAATTTCGTGGTTTGAGAAAAGAAGGAAAGAATTCCAACAAGAAGTTCTTCCATATAAAAAGTAGAATTAATCATAATTTTCATAAAAAAGTATCAGCTGTGCCGGACGTGATTTGAACACGCAACCTTCTGATCTGGAGTCAGCAGCGCTACCGTTGCGCCACCCAGTGAGATGCTTATATAAAGAGTGTTTTTTTTTTCCAGGTATAGAAGTTTAAGTTGGCATTACTTTCCAAGATGGCGACCGATTTAACAGCTGTCAAGTGATTTATTCTCAGTTTGGTTTGGCAATTCATCAAAACGGTCATCAAGCAAGGCGTAGATTCGTCGAATGGGCACAAAACGAGATTGCCGTTGTTCCCGATTTTCATAAGCGAATTTTGTTTAGCGATGAAGCGCACTTCTGGTTGAATGACTACGTCAACAAACAAAACTGCCGCATTTGGAGTGAAGCTAATCCTCAAGTGTATGTCAAAACACCGTTACATCCAGAAAAACTGACTGTTTGGTGCGCTTTATGGGCAGGTGGAATCATTGGTCCGTACTTCTTTAAAAACGAAGGCCACAACGTTACAGTCAATGGTGATCGGTATAGAGCCATGATTACTAACTTTTTCATTCCTGAATTGAACAATCATGATGTCCAGGAGCTGTGGTTCCAACAAGACGGCGCAACATGTCACACAGCTCGTGCCACAATCGATTTATTGAAAGACACGTTTGGTGACCGCCTAATTTCACGTTGTGGACCTGTGAATTGGCCTCCAAGATCTTGTGATTTAACACCGCTAGACTATTTTCTGTGGGGCTATGTAAATTCATTGGTCTATGCGGATAAGCCACAAACGCTTGCCCATTTGGAAGACAACATTCGCCGTGTTATTGCCGATATACGGCCAAAAATGTTGGAAAAAATCATCGAAAATTGGACGTCCAGATTGGACTACATCCGAGCCAGCCGTGGCAGTCCTATGCCAGAAATCATATTTAAAACGTAATGCCACAAGATTATTTTTCGAATGAAAAAAATTCATGTCAATCGAATAATACATCGTTGTTTTATTGCAATTTAAAGTTCTATACCTCTAAAAAAAACACCCATTAGAAAGCAAAATACTCACACAAATAAAAAAAATGTGAGTCCTTTTGAAATTGATTCATCGTTCTTGTTTTTAATTCACTTGCTTCATTTTGTATAACTTTTTAAAGCAAATATCTACTTTTGAATCTAGCCATTTATAAACAATTGTATTTCGTTATACCTATTATATCATAATTTCAATATAACCTGTTTTTTTCTGTCAGGCCGTGAGAGTTTGCTGTAGTAAATCCGCACTTCCAAGCAACCCGAGGGGTACTGGGGACAAACCTTGCAATTTTGAATGTGGCATTATACAGCAGTGGCATTTAAAAATTGATAAGATTTGAAAGAAAAAATAATTTTTTACTTAAAATATTTTTTTTTTCAAAAAATCTAATTATCTTTTTTAAAAACAGACACCCTCCTCTCCTTCCTGCAACTGAAGAATGCATTAAAATTAGCACGAAACGGACAATTGAAATTAAAGGCACAAATTTATCTTCGACGTCATGCAAAAACCTTAGAACACTGATTCCTAAAGTAGTCTATATCGACCCCCAGGGGTCTACTTCAAGCAACAATAATTTGGGGGTCCATGAGGTGTCAAAGGGGGTCTATGATAGTGGCTCTCATTAAACCAGATCGTGACTTTGATCTAGTGGAAATCAGATTTTGCCAATTTAACACATTTATTTACCAAATTTATTGAGGTTCATTTGCAATTACAAGGTGACAGCATAAATTGTATTATGACAAGAACCATCATTCCAGCGTTCCTTTCAAAAATTAAACTAAAGGAGTCTAATATTGGGCGTCACGAATTTTCCCAGTTTCTCAATTTCTTACAGACAATATGGAAGGAAATTGACGTTTTAACCTGCTTTGAACATTTAAATGTTCCTTATTCAGATTTTGAAACTAAGTTTGAGAATGATTTGACTATGGTAATACCACAATAGAAAAAAGGAAGGGGGGGGGAATTAAATAAAAAAAATGACTGGACACTCTACTAAGTGGAGGATATTTAGGGGTTTTATTTAATTAAAATGCATTTCTTAACTTTTAAACACAACAATACAGTTAGAAATTAAACATTTTTAAAGTAAGTAGAAAACTAGCTGTTAAAAAAGACATTTTTAATAAATTTTCAAAAATTCAATATTAGGTGTGTGAGCAGATCTACACAAAACTGAAAAACATGGCAAGGGGTCTATGAGACGAAAAAGTTTGGAAACCTCTGGCTTTGAAAAAAGAATAATTTTATCTTATAAATAATATTATATTCTATAAATGGCATGGTTAATTTATTCCACGATTTATATAAATAATAGATTTCGTACATTTTATAATTAATCAGTTCTTTATATAACAATTACATAACGAATCAATTATATAAATTATATTATTAATTATTCAATTATTTATAAAAATTTTGCTCTTATTTAACATAAAAATTTAATAATCAAGCAAGTATATTAATTTTATAATTAATTCATTCAATAAATTATTTCCTTATTAATTTTACGAATTTTATTAATTAAGAGAAACAAATTAAGAATCGAAATTTATCCAACCAATGCTGTAACGTTTGAAAGAATAACGGTAGCGTATTCTTGGTTAATTAAAATATGGAATTTATTTACGTCACAACTATTGAAAATTATTTACTAAATGATACATTAAAGTTATTAAATTTAATTATAGATTGTTAGAGTCCAATATTTTGTGAGAGGAGGATTCGTTGGTTACCGCTCCCGTGCAAGTTCAAAGCATCTCTCCCCTCATCTTCCGGTCGACGGGTTAGATTCCTCGGGGGTCAAAAAGGGGTTACGTTGCAGCTGCAGATGCACGTGTGGGTGTCGGGTCCACAAAGAAGCCGACTAGATGTTGATGTTTTGGAGAAGTGACGTTACAGCTTTCGCCCTCTCTTATAGAACTTTTCCGTTGAGAAAAGTTTAATGGAATGACGATGAGACAACTGACAGATTACCGACACACATCCCTTCATCAAGCACCACTATATTTCTGAGCTGCAATTTTAACTACTAAAGAAAACGCTGAACTAAATTTGGAATTACATATTTCTAGTGAGTGAGTGTTCTTGCTAGGGAACTTACACAAATCCATATTACGAAAATGATCAATAGCAATGTAAGAAAACATACTATAACATTAAATAAAAATACAAACACTCCTATCACAATGCCTATTATCAATTATACTAACAACATGTTACATCAAATGCTAGTGTAAGACCTTAAACATAAAATATTCGTCGCCACGATACTTAATAAAAATTATACTAACGACATGTTGATATGATATGCGAAGTGTACAACCTTACACACACAATATTTTTCACAATATGCCTCTTGCGTAAACTAAATACTCATGTATATTTTAAAACCCTATACACAAAATTAAGCATATTAATACATTTGCTTTTCATGGCTTTATCTTTTGACACGCATCTCCATTCGATATGATATACAGTACTAGTAAATAAATAAAATTAATACAATTATTAATCTTTAACTAAAAAAACATTATAAGCAACAATTATTATTCATGAGCAAGAGAACATTGTTAACAAGTCCTAATTATCTATCACCGATCTGCTGAGACTATCTGCATTTTTGTGACTTTTACCCGACCGATGTACAATTCTAAAATTATATGGTTGCAAAGCCAAAGCCCATCGCATCAATCTAGGGTTAGAACTAACATTTCTATTCAACCACACCTACGGGTTGTGATCGGTCATAACTAAAAATGAATTTCCATCTAAGTAATAATGTAACCTTTTAATTGCGAAAACAATACTAGCACATTCCTTCTCCGTCGTACAATAACGCTTCTCTACCTCTGAAAATTTTTTACTCAGGTAAAGGATTGGATGCTCCTCACCATGTTCAGTTAATTGGGTTAAAACTGCTCCCATACCTGCGTTTGAAGCGTCCGTTTGAATAATGAATTCTCGTTCAAAATTTGGCGCGTACAAGACGGGCTTATCAATTAGTTTCCCTTTTAGTTCTCGAAATGCGTTTTACACTCGGTCGTCCACGTAATTTCTCCCTTCTTTGCTCTTCCCTTCAACGCGTACGTCAACGGAGCAGCGATTACCGAGAACAGATTTATATATTTTTGGTAATAACCCGCTAGACCTAAGAAAGCAAGTATTTGGGTTTTCGTGCGAGGGGTAGGGAACTCTAGAACAGCCTGAACTTGGATTTCGGAAGGGGTGCGAAAACCCTGACCCACAATGTGACCCAAAAATTTGACATTTTGTTGCGCAAACTTACACTTTGAAGGTTTTATCGTTAACTTAGCTCTCTTTATTCTCTGCAGAACCGTTTCCATATGTTTAATGTGCGACTCCCAAGTATCTGAGAAAATTGCGATATCGTCTAGATACGGGACAACGAAATCCTCTAGTCCGTTAAGTAATTCAGCCATGAGTTTACTAAAGAAATATGGAGTATTCTTTAATCCGAAACTCATCGTTAGGGGTCTGTATGTACCAAAGCCAGTACAGAAGGCTGCGTATCGCTATGCAGTTTTACTCAAAGGTATTTGCCAATATTCCTTAGATAGGTCTAAGACGGTAATAAATTTAGCCGCCGATACTTTTTCTACGCGTTCTTCGATATTCGGAAGAGGAAAATATTCCGTTCTAATGATCCCGTTTAATTTCCTGTAATCAATACATGGACGAGGTTCTTTCCCAGCTACCTCAACTAAAATCATAGGGGACATGTAATCCGATTCTCCTACCTCAATGATTCCTAATTTTAACATTCGGTTAATTTCGTTTTTTAAGATTTCATTTTGTCGGTGCGACATTCGATAGGGCTTCGTCCTAACTGGTTGATCGCTATCTAACCGGATTTCGTGTGTTCAACCAGATTAGTTAAACCGGGATTGTTTGAAAAACATTTAGAGTATTTATTTAATAATTCGCGCAGTAGATCCATTTGTTTGTCGTGAAGGTGTTTGTTCAACTCGCTAGCCTGGATTACGTCCTCGAAATCATAAACGAGAGAATTGTTTTCTAAGTACGGAATTTCTAATTCCTGGTCTGCGAGA